AGAGGCGGGTGACATTTTGGCCGGTGACAATCTGGTAGGCTTCAGGCGTCCTGCCCAGCACCGTGATGAAGAAAAGGAAGAGGGTGCCAGTGAACTCGTCATAGAGAGGGCAGGGGTTCATTGACCGGTGGTGCTGCAGCGTCGCAGTTTCCAGCACGCGCATGTCTTCCCACTGCCGGGGAGGAGGAGGAAAGGATGGAGAGGGGTGAGGACCACCTCGTTTCACCCACCCCCACATGTGAGTGCTTCTGGGAGCTCAGCTGTGCTGTGCACAAGCAGTTGAGGACAACCACTCAGCTGTCTCCATGCCCCCAGCCCAACGTGTTCTCCCCAACCCCAGGTGCATCCCCCGTCCCACCTCCACGTAGCTCCCGTAGACAGTTCCGCGGCGCAGCACCAGCAGGTTGGCGTGGGCATCGTCAGAGCTCAGCCGCTCCTCCGCAAAAGCCAGCAGCTTGGCCACGCAGGGCAGGTAGAGCAGGGCTGGGACACGGTATGTGACACCGCTGGATTCCTTCTCGAAGAGCACGGTCCGGGCAGGGAAGTGCCGGGAGCCCATGATGTCTGCTGCAGAAAGATGCAGCCCCACCCCAGTGGGTGGATGGAGGTGGGGAATCAGATCCTGGGCACAGCCAGGGGTGTGGGCCAGGAGCTGGACTGAACTGGAGGTGTTTGGGTTTTAAACTGGTGGGCTTTGGTTTGGGGAGTCCCTGGGGATCATGGGCTGCAGGGCAGGTTGCTATGGGCAGGGTTGGGGTTGAGAGGAGCTGAAGGTGTGCTGCTGTTGGTGGCAAGTCACCACAGCTCAAAGGTGGGAGAGGATTTTGGGTAACACCAAAGAGGCTGACCTGGGCTACACCGGAATAAAATTATAGGATGATAGAATCCCAGACTGGTGTGGGTTGGAAGGGACCTTAAAGCTCATCCAGTTCCAACTCACCACCTTCCACTAGACCAGGTTGCTCAAAGCCTCATCCAACCTGGCCTTCAACATTTCCAGGGAGGAGCAGCCACAACTTCTCTGGGCAGCCTGGGCCAGTGTCTCACCACCCTCCCAGCAGAGAATTTCTTCCTCACATCTCATCTCAATCTCCCTTCTTCCAGTTTCAAGCCATCACCCCTTGTCCTGTCACTCCCTGCCCTTGTCACAAGTCCCTCCCCAGCCTTCCTGGAGCCCCTTCAGGTACTGGAAGGGCGCTGGAAGGTCTCCCCAGAGCCTTCTCTTCTCCAGGTTGAACAGCCCCAACTCTCTCAGCCTGTCCTCACAGCAGAGGTGCTCCAGCCCTCGGATCATCTTCGTGGCCTCCTCTGGACTCGCTCCAGTAGGTCCATTTAAAATAAAATTAAATTAAATTAAATTGATCTTCAGGGCACTCTTCAAAAGGGGTTTCTGGTAAATTGAGGCAGGTCAGCAAAGGGCAGGGTGAGACCTGTGGTTCCCTGCTCCCATCATTGAGTACATGTTGGGGGACAGAGTCCATCTCCACACAGTCAAGACCCTGGGACCAGCCCAGGCCCCTCAGAGGGGTCAGGGAGCATTTTGTCCCACATTTCTGCTGCCTCCAGGTCAGCAGACCCAGCTGGCTCCTCGTTTCCCCCTGCCCTGCTAGGGAGCCCTGACGTACACGACTCCAACCATGAGGTCCCTGGCTGGGATGCCAGCTGTCCCCAAGCATCTTTTCTTCAAGGACAGCAGGACTGCCACTGAGGTTAGCCATCCCAAGGCTGTGTGTCCCAGGCTATCACCCCCGGAGGAGATGGGCATCCCACCAGAGTGCCCAAGAGTGACTCTCACCTGTGTTTTAATTATGAGCTTTTGCTGATCAAAGACCCCATGGAGAAAGCAAAAACACTCACCGGGTCTTGCTGAGGTGGGATGTCCCCTCCGACCCTCAGCCCTGCCGCAGGGTAACGCCAGCTCCCACAGCCACCGGCTTTCTGCAGAGCCCGCGGCCTCACCGCTTTGCTGCCACCTCCCCTTGCAGGGTCCCCCCACCAATGGGTCACGGGGCTCCCACAGCGGCCGGGGTTGGGAAAAGCCCTGAGTCAGCAGTGGCGGCCACTCGTGCAGTGCCGGGCGGCACAAAGGGACCATCACCAGCCCGGGCAGAGCTGGGGGCCCTGCACCTCCCTCAGACCCCCTGGTGGGGGGATGCAAAGGGAGCCTTAGGGGGATATTTGGATCTCCTGCCTCAGTTTCCCTCCTCCTGCAGCCTGGGAGAGGCTGGACCTCCCTGCACAGGTGCTGCAGCTCACCTTCCCTGTGGTCCACCTCAGCTGTAAGCTCCTCAGCCGGTGGTCCAGAGGGTCCCAGCCTTCCCAGGACCCCCACCTGCACACAGGTCGGCTGTTAAGAAATTATTTTTATGCTTCTATTCCATCAGCATCAGCTTTGCTAACGGGGCATGACAAAATTCATACGGCAAGTCACGGACCAGGAGCTCCAAGGTGAAAGCCCCAGCTCAGGCTGCAGAATTGGCTGGGAAAGGCCCTCAGGGATTGCCCAGGCTGAACACGTGTGGCTGCCATCTCCTCTGCCCCAGCCAGTTACAAATGCCTCCTAAGCCTGGTTAATTTTAGCGAGGGTTGCTGGAGCAGAAAACCCTGATCCTGATGTTAATCTCCCTGTTGTTCCTCTCCTCCATCACATGGGGCACAGGTTGCCTGCAGGAGGTTAACCCTTACCTCAGCTGCCTTCCCGGGCTACCTGCTGAGTTTAAACACAGCTGAGGAAATTCCCAGCTCTGCTTCTCTCTGACAACATCTCTGCTGCTTCCCCAGCTGAGATACTGCCAGGGCTGCTTCACTCCCAAGGAGAAGCTACAAGCCAAGTGACCCCAGATCCATCGTTCCAGCCACACAACCCAGTCCCCAACTGGTGTAAGCGGGGCAATGCTGGCTTAGCATTGAAATATTGAACCATCAGGGATGGTGGGCGTGTTGGAAACCAGCACTGGGCAATCATTAACAGCCAAGGGCTTGGTGCTGCTGTCCTTCTGACCAACCTTCCTAGCACTGGTGCAGCAGCCAGCAAACAAGCAAAGATGTCCCAGGCTGGTTTAATTACCTCCTTCAATAATGAGGTCATGCCCTAAACAAGCAGTGGCCATGTCTCCCTCCACCCCTCTCCTCATCAGTGTTGAAGAGTTTGGCCAACACAGCAGAGGGGAGCCCAATGAAGCCTCTGCTGATAAAGGGCTTCAAGGATGCTGAGACTCTTGCCCAAGAGAGAGGAGTGAAACCACAAAATGCGCCCTCCCAGGGGAGGGACAAGTGGTCCTAAGTGGTGCAGAGGCAGCCCACACCTCATGACATGTGTGAGAGGGACGTCCCACGTGCTGGTGGGGAAGGGCTGCCAGCCAGCACAATGAAATCTGAAAAGCAGCCCTGGCATCGCACAGTAGTTAGTTGTCTCTGAGCACGGATGCTGCTGGACGGGAGACCCAACATCTCTCCTTCTCCTTCAAGTGCTGTGTCCCCTTGTCGCGCTCTCCTCCTTGTTGCCCTCCCCCTCCCCTTTTTTTCTCCTAAACACCAACATCAGGACTTGCTCCAGTGAGCTGTGACCACCCTGGGTGAAATGACAGCCATTAAATGAAGTCAAATGCAAACAAAATAATTAAGCTTGTAATTAATGATTAAGAGACAGGAATGTCTGAAGCCCAGCCTGCCCAGCGCTCAGCCGCTGCGGGCTGTTCCACCACCTGGGAGCGGGGAGGAGGGATCACACAGGATCCAGCCTTTGGCTTCAAGGTCCCCAAGAAGGGACCCACCACCAGCTTGGTGACCCTGAACAAAGCCCCCTCCACCTCCCCCTCTTGTGCATGAGTCCTGTGGGCCAGCCACGTGTCAGACGTGGGGGGATGCAAAGCGGTTGGAAACTGCAGTGGGTTCTCATGTGCCCTAGTTGGGAGTTGGGAGTTGTGACTTCTCCTGGAAACTGGTCCACAGCAAGGGCAAGCCTAACTGCTTCCTCTTCTTGTGTGGGTGTTGAACAGCATAAAGATAGGACGTGTACTGGAGCTCTGGCATAACCATTTTCTGGCAGGTTCTCAGTGTCCTGTTGTCTAAGTCTTGTTTGATGTTGTACCCAAGGATATTTGCAGCCCCTGACTGGAAAGGCAGGAGAGCTTTGTTCTTGATGTGGTTCTTCCCCACTGCCTCCTGGTCCGAGAGACAGGTCTCCATGAGCTCCTTCTGTCTTGTTCGCAGGTGATTCACCTCCTTCTCCAGCTCCTCCAGTCCAATGGTCTCTTCAATTCTCCTCCAGAAGCTCTGGTTGAAGTGCAGGTAGAGCTTCCAGTCCAGTGAGCACCACGCTTTTATCCGTTCCTCGCTTTCTGGAGTCAAGGTCTGGACAGTGTCCTGGCTTCTGGAATTGAGCTTAAAGTAAATCACGTCATCCAGATCCCAGCACAAAGTGTGCTTCAAGAGGATCATGGACTCATCAAAGTAGTCTGCTATCAAGATCAGGTGGAAGTTCTGTTCAATCTCCTTCAAGACCTCTTGGATGTACTTTTTGTTGTCCTCTGCATTGTTATCATAGCCAAAGTCAAACCACATGATATTCCTGGCGTAGATGTTTTGCTTGTAATCCGCTGGATGGTAATACTTCATGGGTGACGCCAGGTACTCATTCACGTCCTTGGAGATCCTGAAGGCAGGGACATTGTCCTTGTAGTAGACGTAGGAAGACTCCAGCAGAGGAATGGGGTTCCTGAGGATGGAGAAGTAGAAGGTGTTTGCTGCCATCACTTTTTGCACCTATTTGTGGGGAGGAAGAGGACAATGTTAGTCTGGAGGCATTGCTTGATCAACCAGGTTTCTCCACAGGTGTCATGGCTCTTTCTTACCTCTGAGGCGTTAAACCGCAGGTGGTTGCACATGATGTTGTAGTTTTGTCCTATGGCTTGAAATTCCTCCACAAAGTGGGCCAGAAAGGTCTTTGGGTAGCCCAGGTGGACGAGCTGGTCAGCTGGGAGGGCGACGGTGAGGCTGTACCTCTCTGCAAACCTGAACATGATGTTCAGGACGGTGCTGCTGGCCGTCTTGTGGGTCTTGAGGAACATGACGTTAGTCTTGGGGTGGCAAGGCGTGGAAGGTATCAGCAGCTCCTCGTGGCTCTTTGAGATCCTGCAGGAAGGCAACAGATGGGGCAAACAGCCTCCTCAGTGCCATACCCCATCTCTGAGACCTGGCAAAGCCAAACCCCTGCAGGTTCTCCTTCCAATAGGACACCTGCAGCTGGTGCAAGGCACCAACACAAACAAGCCCCATCCCTCAGGTGCAGATGTCAGAAAGTTTTCTGCTTCTCCAGGTCCTCACTGACCCAAAGGTTCAGCTCGATCCCCTTCTCTTTTTTCCATACAGCTGATTTTACCCCAAAGAGCTGCGCTTTGGTTTATTTGATCCCTTGCCCACCCAAATGTGGACCTAGGACCTATCTTTGGGCTGCTGCCCTTCTAATATTAGCCTAAACTCCACCAGAGTTAAATCAAGTGTCATAGGTCAGATCCTTGCTGTCTTGGGCAGACAAAGTCATGCAACTTCATTTCTGCTTCACTTACACATAACTTTTATTCTTCATATGGAAGACTCCCGACAGGAAGATGAGTCCCAAGCAAAGGTTGAAAATGATGAGACATTTTATACACCTGGAAAGAAAGCAGAGTTTCAGTGGATTTTTATCTGACAGTCCTTCTCTGAAACGCGAACCACCAAACTTGGGCATGTTGCTCCTGGGAATTTTTCTCACCAGGAGCACAATTTTATGTCTCTGTGGTGCCAGCCACCTCTGGCTCTCCCAGCTGTGTCAGCAGCTCTGGCGTTATCATAGAGTCACAGACTGGTTTGGGTTGGAAGAGACCTTAAAGCTCATCTAGTCCCAACCCCCCCTGCCATCAGCAGGGACACCTTCCACTAGACCAGGTTGATCAAAGCCTCATCCAACCTGGCCTTCAACACTTCCAGGGAGGAGCAGCCACAGCTTCTCTGGGCAGCCTGGGCCAGTGTCTCACCACCCTCACAGCAAACAATTTCTTCCTCAGACCTCATCTCCATCTCCCCTCTTCCAGGTTAAAGCCATCACCCCTTGTTCTGTCACTATCTGCCCATAAGAGGCAGGACAGTGAGAAATTCCACTTTCACTGTCACTCTCCTCATTTTGACCTCTGGCAAGACACAGCCTATGTCAGGCAGAGCCTGCCAAGCTCCCCCGACTCTGCTCTGCTGCCTTTTGTTTTGCTTTCCTTTCAGTTTTCTGGGGCTTTAGAGTTTATTCACTATTCAAACTTCTAGTTTATTCACTAGAAAATGTGCTCTTTGTAGGGGTATAAGGATTTCCTCAGTAAGAAAACTGTGTGGCTCCTGTAGTCACATCTCTCTAGAAGATGAGGATCTCAAAGAAACCCTAAGCTGATTTTTTTTTTTCAATATAACTGAGATTTTTCAACACAGAAAACCAATTAATAACCTAACAGCACCCATAACAGACTAATTACATTCTGCTTTCAAACAAAAGGATGGCTTCCCCACTGTGACAGCTTCACCTCCCAGTCCAGCTCTGGTGCTCAGCCTCACTCAGGTCTCCCTTTCCTCAGATCTTCTCACCTTGGCCAGACTTTTCACAGCCCGAGCTCAGAGGCCACCCTTTGGACCAAGCACTTAATCTACCTGTGCTTTGCCTGGATAATGATGAGGAGTGAGTCTTTCCCAGCACTAATTAGGCAACTACCATTTATCATCAGCAGTGCATTCTAGCTGGGACACGTACAGGATCTTTGAAGGTTTGATGCCCACCAAAAAGGAATTTTTCATCACCAAGCTTGATCTGACTGCTCTGACCTTCAAAGCTTTTTTAACTCGGTGTGAATTCCATGTTTTCAGCCACCATTTCCAAAATCCAGCAGCTCGGTCTTGGGCTTTAAGTTGTTTTGAGAAGATACAGTCCCATTCACAGCATGGGATGGTCACACTTGTGGTTCCCACCCTCCCAAGCAAGGAAGGTAGGCTCTAAGCCTGCCCACTCTGAAGGTCAATGGCTTGTTTCGGGCTGGACCTGGTGGTCCTTTCTACTGTCTTTCTGGCCAAGGGGTCCTCAAACATGGTCCTAGGTGGAGGCTTTCACAGAATGGTAGGGGTTAGAATCACAGAATTGCCTAGATTGGACTCGATGATCTTGAAGGTCTTTTCCAATCATTAACCCAACACTGACAAGTCCCCGACTAACCCGTGTCCCTCAGCACTATGTCTACACAACTCTTCAATCCCTCCAGGGATGGGGACTCCACCACTGCCCTGGGCAAACCATTCCCTTCAGAAGAAGGGACCTCTGAAGATCATCTAGTCCAACTCCCTTGCTAGAGTAGGATCACGGAGAGTAGATCACACTGGAACATGTCCAGGTGGGTTTTGAACATTTCCAGACATGGAGACTCCACAACCTCTCTGGGCAGCCTGTCCCAGTGCTCTGGCACCCCCACAGCAAAGAAGTTTTTCCTTATGTTTAGGTTGAACCTCCTGTTTTCCAGTTTGTGATCATTGCCCCTTGTCCTGTCACTGGACACCACTGAGAAGAGCCTGGAGTCTTTCATAGCCTCCAGCTTGTACCATGTGAAAGATACTGAATTGCTCCTTCCAGTTGGTCTTACAAGAGTGCAACCACCAGCTTCACCTGCCATGGTCTACAGCCTCTCATTGATTGGCCACAGAAAATCATTTGACTTTGCTTGCCATGCAAACCTGCCTGACACCACTTTTGCTTCAAGCTTTGCTTTCAACAAGAGTGCTTTCCTTGTCCAATGGCACCCCAGAGGAAGTGGGAAATCCTCGGGTAGCATAGCCCTTCCCAAAGCCACGGAGAACCCTCAACCACAGCTGGTCCCAACCTTTGACATGGATTTGCAGCACAGCTTCTGCATGAAGAGTTTCAAGACATAACTACAGGCAGTCTTTCATCAGTATTTCTTAAGTTTTCGGTCCCAGACCTGCTAGGGGGACAGACAATCCCCTTTCCTTTGATCACTCTAAATAGAGATGAGACAGGAGAAGAAATGCAGAGGAGCCCACAGGCAGCAAAGAGGCTCACATCTGTTAAATGCAGCCCCTGCCTATTTTCTTGGTCTTTCATTTAAACCAAAGCTGACACTGGTGTGATGGTTTTCCAGAACACATCACCCTGCCTGCCTGGAGGTCTTTCCTAAGCCAGTTTGGCAATGCCCTTCTTCTGCACCTTTTCTGTAGAGTTTAATGCATGCAGTAATGGTCCACATGTTTGTCTGGGTGGTGTCCCCAAAATGGCAACTCAGATTGATGTCTTATGGGGCAAACAAATCAACATGCACCTAAACCAATCCTGAAGACAGATCGGGATCACAATATGCTCCAGGAGGATTATCAGTCACTTCTACTGCAAGAACTCTACAGCTCTGTAGACAACTACATCTTATCACCTCAAGGTATCCCATGATATTTTAATAGTCATTTACTCTAATAAGCTATTACATAGTGCGGTCCTGCCTCCAAATCCTCAAACATGTGCAGCACACCGAGCCCATCTCCAATGGAGCTGGATGCTCCCAGCAGACCCATTTCATCTGGACATGCTTTGAAAGTCCCACACAACATCTGGCTTTTGCACCTGAAGACACAGAGAGGGATAATGGTCCCGACTATCTATGCACGTAAAGCCTCAAAGTGTTGCTGGTGCAGCATGACGGTCTGGTTATCACAGCGCCAAACATGCCCAATGGGCAAGTTACAGGCAGCAACGTGCCACCAGCGAGCCCTGAGGGACTGTGAAGAGCTCACATCATCCTGAAGACAACAGCAACCTGCAGCCGAGTGATATTCACACTGTAGTTGCGAGTGGTGGCCACTCAGTCTACGTTGGGCTTGCCAAAACCACGGCAGCTTCCTGGAACAGTCAGTTTTAAGGAGCAAGAGTGATTCCTTCAGCACGTGGGCCATGGAGCTGCCGATCCTCATGCAGAAATGGGCTTCTTGTCCTGGGGCTACCTCGTGGCATGGTGCTCGTTCTCCTGCCCGGGGATGTGTGGATGGAAAGGTATCTGCCTTACAGCTCGGGGAGCGAGCGGGGCGTGGGGACAGGGAGGGGACCACAGCTGACTGCGGCAAAGGCGATCAGTGCAGGTGTTCAGGGGAAGGGATCAAGGATTCCACCAGGGAAGAATGTGGGAAAATGGAGACCAGGGGAGATGAGAGGAGAGGTTTGCAGGTACGCAGTGCCTGATCACTGCAGGGGGTCCTGTCCCCACAGCCCCTCCCCAGGCTCAGACACCCAGCCCTGGGCCTTCAGCACTGGCTTCAGCACGTACTGCAAACCTACACGTGGGGTTTCACCACCCATTCTGCACTCACCGCTCTGGGACACCTCTGTGACAGCCAGCACCGCTCTTAAAGACCGTTCCCTTAGTGTCACACGCCACACCTCTGTCACAAGACTGCCAGTCACAAGATTGACCAGGCCACTTCTAAATCTGTGTTGGGTCAACAGATACCACATTCAATGTTGGCTAAAATATCTCCCATCCTTAATCCCTTCAAGATGACAAGTCCCACTTGTCCAAGAGCTATTTTGACTGTCTCACGCACACAGGCTGAAGGTGAACAGAGCGAGTACCTGGTGTTACAGAAGACAGAGCTGATCTTTCATGCAGTTAGAGCTGCAAGCAGAGGGATTTCGTAACTATCCAGCATACCAACGGGAGTGTGGAGGGCATGACACACAGGATCATGGCTGCAGTGATTTCTTCCTTCCCTGCAGGACAGCAGGGAAGCGTTTCACCTGGATGTGTGAAGCCCGACGTAGCTGAGTTGCAGGGTACGATCAGAGCTGCTATCTACTTTTTTTACCCCATTAATACAATATTTTGCAAAGCAAAGCTCGAGAGAGAAAACCGTGATTCAAACGTCACACACAAGTTACCTAAAGATGCAAGATGTGCAACCAGCCTGGGATTCCTTTGAGGAAGCACTTGGGAGCTGATTGCTAAGACACAAAATTCTTCTAAGACACCAAAAAACTTGCAGAGCTGTCAGCAGGGCTGGCACCGGTGGTTCCACTCACCTTTCCGACCTGTGCTGTGCCATCTCCCAGCTGGGGAGAAAACATGGAAAACTACCTCTGAGGTGACACTTGGAGGGGCTGCTATGGATGCTTAAGCTGAAAATAACAGACCTGTGTGTCGACCTAACAAGGTTCTTTCAAATTAAAAGACCTGAAATACAGGAAAGAAACATTCATGGCAAAATTAAGCTCTACTCTGGAGCAAACAGTAACTAACTCTAGAGGTTATTAACAACTTACAGGCATTACCTGAAACAGACTTTTCAACAAACTGCATTTTAATTCTGCTCCCGCAGCGTTCACGTCCCTCTCCCCTTACCTTGGAGTGCACCCAGGGCTTTTCATGCTGCCTCGTTGCTGCGAGCTAGAAAATATCTCCTTTGCAAATCGACTCCGATACTCCTTTTGCCTATGGGATCCTCCGGCTCTTTAGCGTACGCAGCTCTATTTCTAGCATCCCTTCGCTGCTATAAATGGCTGGGAGAGGTGAGGACAAAAGGAGTGGCTAGGTGTTCCCAGGGGTGAGTGGAAGTCAATTCATAAGCTGTAAAAAGCACTGGCACGGCATGGCATTCACACAGGTACAAAGAGCTGCCTCAGGAGGCAGGGCTTGCAATGGTTTTGCAGGGCAGTAAAGATTTAGTGGGAACCTCTTAGCAGGACACGCTTCTCTCTTGGCTGCAGGAGAGATCCAGGGGGCTGGTGGCAGGGGGACAGAGGAGGGCACCACCAATCCCCTTCATCATCCTGCACACCATCACATTGCTCTTCAGCATCATCCCTTCCCTGCCCACTGCCACGCTGCTTGGTGTCATGGCCAGTGCCTGCCATGCCTTTCCTCCACTTCTTGTTTGTTGGTTTAGCTCTATAATCCTCTGCCAGACAGAATCCCAGAATTGCCTGGATTAGAAAAGCCCTTTAAGATCATCGAGTCCAATCATTAACCCAACACTGACAGGTCCCCAACTAACCCATGTCCCTCAGCACTATGTCTACACGACTCTTCAATCCCTCCAGGGATGGGGACTCCACCACTGCCCTGGGCAACCCCTGCCAATGCCTCAGAACCCTTTCTGCAAAGAAATTCTTCCTCACATCCAATCTCAACTGCCCTTGGTGCAACTTGAGGCCATTTCCTCTTGTCCTGTCCCTTGGTCCTTGGTTGAACAGACCCACCCCCACCTCTCTCCACCCTCCTTTCAGGGAGCTGGAGAGAGCCAGAAGGTCTCCCCTCAGATGCATTTGACAACAGGAAATGAGGGAAAAACAGCAAAAGAGTAACGCTGTTCACCTGTTGGAACATTTGGTGAATTGGAACATCACCTCTTAAAACATTTAGACTTCAGTCTCCCAGTAAAAATGCAATTATTGCAGCTGGGAGTTAAGAACTTTGCCGTATCGAGGCCTTGGGAGAGAGAGTTCCTGCCCCTAAACAGGTGTTATTTTATGGTTTGTCTACAAAGTGACTTTCTGGTGTTGTTAATAACCATTACAACTTGCATTATACAGGAATTTGAGATTTCACCAAGGCTTCTGTCCACCAGCACTACATAAACAGGGTTTGATGGTTGCAAATTGCCCCAGGAGAGCAAGATTTGTCCTCCCCGCGCCAGGGATGAGCTCGATGCTCTCCTCATTTGGGCGACAAAAAATGTACCTACATCTCCCAGCCTGCAGGAGAGGATTAAGCTCTTGCTTTTGGTTTTTTATGCCCACACCACTTCCCACACATCTCCTCACATGGTCCCCTTTCCCTCCCCACCCATCGTGCTGCTTTCCTAAACCTTATATGGTGGTGGCCCAACCTGCCACACTAAGAGCCAAGTCCTCAGCATTCTGCTAACTTTCACCTACTTCCCTCTCTTCAGAGTGCCCCAATACACAGCATTTTGTTTTAAATCACAGCTTCCTCAGGCCAGCCCCGATTCCAGTGCTTATCAAGATTCAGAGATTAGCAAGGTATAGGGTTGCTTCCTTGAGTTTCTTGGTAGAACATGAGCCACTGTGCTGTTTTATGCAGAATTGCTAGGGTTACTCTTGGCACAGCGTCAGCTGCTGCTGGCAGGGGCATCACGCTCATTAGGTTTCTTTCTCCTGTTACACTAGACACGTCAGCTGTGTCATTTCTTGCTCAGAAGCTGGTAGAGCCCACAAATCACAAAAGACTTTTTTTTTACACTTTTACAATTGATTCATTGCTCTCTCCTGGGGTGTTGTACACGAATTGTCAGGTTTGGTTACGCAGAAAAATATGGTGCTGTGCAGAAAGACTGGGCTGTGTGCTGTGCTGGGCTGCTCTCGGAATGGAAGCTGTGGAGGTCAGCCAGTCGACACAGAATTAGTTAGCCAGGGCTGGATGCTGAATTAACAGCTCTGTACTGGAGCTCCGCTTCACGCGCCTGCTTGCTGAGAGGAGTGTTGTGGGTCAGCCCCTGTGGGTGGATCAGCCCCACGCAGCCGCTCACTCACACCCCTGTAGCAGGATGGGGAGGAGAATCGAAAGGGTAAAAGTGCAAAAACTCATGGGTTGAGATCAAGGCAGTTTAACAGGCAAAGCAAAAGCTGCGCACGCAAGCAAAGCAAAAGGGATTCATGCGCTACTTCCCATGGCAGGCAGGCGTTCAGCCATCCCCAGGAAAGCAGGGCTCCATCACATGTAGCCATTACTTGGGAAGAGAGACGCTGTAACTCTGAATGCCCCCCTTCCTCCTTCTTCCCCCAGCTTTTATGGCTGAGCATGACGTCCTACAGTGTAGGACATCCCTTAGGGCAGCTGGAGTCAGCTGTCCCAGCTGCGTCCCCTCCCAGCTTCTTGCACAACACCAGCCTGCTCACTGGTGGGGCAGGGCGAGAAGCTGAAAAGGCCTTGACACTGGGCAAGCACTGCTCAGCAACAGCTACAACATCCCTCTCCTGTCAACGCTGGTCACACATCCAAAACACAGAGCCATACCCGCTACTGGGACGAAAATTAACTCTATCCCAGCCAAAACCAGTACAGAGAATCAAGTGCTTCCTCACTGTGCCAGAATTGTAGAATCGTAGTGGTTGGAAAGACCTTTAAGATCAAGTCCAACCATAAACCAAACACTGCCAATTCCACCTCTAAACCATGTCCCTCAGCACCTCATCTACCTGTCTCTGAAATCCCACCAGGGAAGGTGACTCCACCACCTCCCTGGGCAGCCTGTTCCAATGCTTGACTACCCTTTGGGGGAAGTACTTCCTCAGATCCAATCTAAACCTCCCCTGGTGCAACTCGAGGCCATTTCCTCTTGTCCTGTCACTTGGTCCTTGGTTGAACAGACCCACCCCCACCTCTCTACACCCTCCTTTCAGGGAGCTGGAAAGAGCCAGAAGGTCTCCCCTCAGCCTCCTTTTCTCCAGGATCAACAACCCTAGTTACATCAGCAGCTCCTTCTAAGTTCTCCATGTCCTTCAGAAGACCACTGCTTCAAAGTGTTGAGCATCCACATCATTCTACTATTTAAGTCTGTGCCAGAAAAAAACACAATTTTGGACAAGAAATTGCTACCATAATGATTCTTCATAAAAATACCCCCCCACACATATATGTACCCACCATCTCTCCCTCCTATATAGGACAGTGAACCGATATTTGAAAGCATCATTGAGAACATTGAAGGGAAAGGATAATAATGGTGTTTAAGGTCTAGGAAAGATACTATAAAACAATCCTAACTCCTCCCTTCTATTGCCTCAGGGTAATTGCTCTATTGTTTAGCTAAAGTAAACTTACATTGAGCTTAAGGATCTTCAAGTGTAAAGAAGATGGCTAAATGTAGCTGTGCCAGAATTTCCCTGGCCACAGCACTAGGTTATGTCAGCCCTGACTCCCTCTCTAGCACTTGTTCCATATGTAGCTGAAAAAAAAAGCAGTATGGAAAGTTCTGCTTCCCAAAAAGAGCCATTCACGTGTAAAAGCCTGTATTTTAAACAATTATGGTCAGTGGTTTGGGGGGGCGGGGGGGGGGGGAGGGAAGAGAAAGAATGGTGTAGGAAAAAGGCAGAGAATATAAACAGCCTGATCCGGAAAGAACGAGCTGCATCAGCTTAACTTGGCAGAAAGCAAATCCTGTGAATTTCTTCTCTAGCAACATCATGGACTTTCCATAGTTTTGCATCACCTGATCCACGAGCAGCACAGGCTGACTGCGTTTCACATTCTCTCTTCTCTTTGTTAACAACAGCATTGTTCACTCTGCTTAACTCCAGAAGGAGATGATCAGCTCCTCTCTGAGGAATGGAGAGGTGAGGAGCACATGGATAGCAGAGAGAAAGGGAGTTGAAGGGAAGAGACTAGAGGGCAGCTACTGCAGGTCACATAACATACTGAAATACTCCTGTTAAAAGCATCCCTGCGGCCAAGTTGAGAGAGTTGTGACCTTAGAACTGTACTGCAAAGGGTGTTGCAACACAGTGCTGAGCATAAGCCATCATCCTTAACGCGATTCACCAGCTTGCAGCCTTGTAGAGATGGTGTTCTGGATAGAAACATTAAAAAAAAAAAGACTATAGAGGATGATTTTCTTCCAAGAAAAAGGCTCTGGATTGAACACCTATTTCACTGCACTGTGGAAGAGCAGAAATCACTGAAAAGCAGCTAATGGAGAAGACTGCTACTGGGGGAGACAACCACCTTTCCTAGTCTCATGGAGTCCAGGGAGGCTTTCCAGACCAGTAGACCTGAGGAAAAACCATCAAGCACCACCCTCTGAGCCAGTCTCCTACCCATATCACAGACCACCCATCTAGTCT